GAAGAACTGACGTTCCGTGGGCCATGTTAGTGGTGGGCTTGGTTATGATATCTCAAAAGCAAGAAAGAGGCTCCATGGGGTCTCCTCCCTGCAGATCTCATGGACAGTGAGCTTAGCACTCCACGTGGGCATCAGGCCTGGATCAGGGTTCAAGACCTGCATTGCAGAGATGGGCCTGGTCATTCGCTCCCTCTTTTCTACCAGTAACTGAGTGTGTGAGGCAGTCCCATATGGCTGGCTGAGAAAGACACATTCCATCCTACTGTACAGGACCCCTCACAGAGCCCTCCCTGCAGGTAGTTAAGGCAGATTTAAGTTAGGTTGGAGTCCCATGAGGTTTTGGGTCTAGGTCCTGCTCTTCAACAGAGAGAGGATAGAGGTGGGGCTGCCAGGTGTGGCAGGTCTTGATATGGCCAACACTCTGGTCCCTACTTGGCCACCAATTCTTTTTGTCTCTTCTATTGGTAAGAGTCTCGGTGGAGGGAAGGAGCGAGTAACTGGCACCCAATTCTGCATTAGTGATCATGAACACAAGAGCAATGCCCATAATCTGTGATGGCTCTGTGATGAGATTACAGGGAATTTCAAGAGGGAAAACTGGCAAACGGAATAAATAAAGACAGTTTTGTAAGCTAGTACAGACAATGAATAAAATATTTATACTCTAAAAGCAAGGAAGTTAAGAGGAAGCTGAAGGGTGTTATGTTACAAAGAACTTTGCAAGGCCTAAGTGTGACTGATTCTAGGAAAATAACACATATAAGAGGGTACTTAATATCATAATATTAGAAAGAATTTTTAAATTTTAGATAAATAGTTATTACAAAGAAGAAGGAAAAGAAATATTTCATCCTACTGTACAGTTGTTTAGAATTTTTCTTCCTTGGAGAGAAGACCAAAGGACCAGAGAGTTATCTTTCTTCTGCACAGCTGGGGGATTTGCAGCATGTGGGCACTACTTTTTTTCTAGGGCCTATTCTTTTTATTGATATGCTTATATATTTTTCAAAATCTACTACTAGCCATAACTGAGAACAGTTTCTATACAGAGTATTTACATACGCATGCCTGTTTATTCTGAGCTGATCAAAGTGATCATACAGCTCTGTGCTTCCTCCAATTCTTACTCAGCAGTGTGCTTACCTGTCTGACATGGTTGCAGACCAATAATGCCTGTCAGCCTTGCTAAAGGGAAGAAAAGGGTCCAGAGAAACGACATGTGAAGCAGACCTAGGAGTCATCAGCATTTGCTTACCTGTGAGTCTGGTCTTCAACTATTTCTCTGAGCATTTCAGAAATATGTTTCAGTGGTTGGTGCCACAGGCTTTGTGGGATATCTGTGGGTGGAAAGAGAACAGAGGAGAATTGAAGAAAAGTCAAATCTGTTAGGTAGGAATCATCTGCAGCTAAGACTGGAAGAGTTTTGGGGAAAGGCCATTTTTTTCCCTGGTCAATGGAACCGACGCCACCTCTCTCATGCTGCTGCCTGCCAGTACCTATCTCTCAAGCCTGGGAAGAAAGATCCATCGCTGTTACACAGCTAAGCTTCAGGGGCTTTTTAACTCAGGTCCATAGGAGTGGACAGATACTGTATGAGCAGCCCGTCCTAGGATTTAGAAATGCTGTGTTGCAGATGCCTCAGGATTTTTTCTTTGCTACCTACCCAATCCCTCCTCTATCACTAACAATTTGTGATTCAAAATATGTGGAGACTGTAATAAAAGTCAATAAGGAATTATAAATGGAATGTCCAACTGTTTGTCTATGATTTGTGATGAATTCAGAATATGATTTCAGGTTTATAGTAAAGAAAAGGCTTAAAAAAAATACATACAAACAAATATCATACAAACAAATGCCTTTTCTTGAGTTAGTGTTTCTGGTTCCTCGATTATCCTGTGGTTTTAAACACATCTGAGCATGTATGTTCTGCAGTTTGAAACAGCGTCTGAAAAAGGTTACCACATTTGCATGTAGTGATAGGTTCTTAAATAGTAATTAAATAGATGAGGAAGACAATGTAAGGGAATAGAGTAACCACTGCTCCTCCACAAACGTTACAGATTAAAGAATCATAAATTCTCTCCCTCCCTCTTCTGAACTCCCCTAACTCTTGATTTGCAGCCTTTGAAGGCATTTCATTTTCTTCTTTGTATCAGTTGTTTAGATACTTATTTTATGTCCTCTCTACTTATAGGTCCTAGATAGTCTGGGCTCATAAGGGATCTCTTTTATACCCCACAGGACTTGACAGTGGGAACAAAATCCATTTCTGATAAATAGAAGAGTCAACTATTAAAAACAGCTCAGTTTGTGTATATAACATTATTTTTTCTAAAAGTAATATGTAGAAAACTGTTCTAGAAACTAGCATAGGGAATCCTTGTACTTCTGCTTGAATTTACTTATTTTGGGACATAAATCTAGGATAATCACACCAACGAAAAGGCAAGTAGGCTAAGTTCATGCCCATATACTATCTTAATCTTTTGTTTATAGATTTCCAAACTTAAAAAATAACAACACCAATACTTTTACTGGAGCTCATTCAGGTTCTCATGCAAGCTGACTTTAGGCTTTGGTGATCTGACTTAAGCTCTGGAAAGTGAATTACCGCCTTTTCTGTCTTGTTATTAAAGTTTTCCCATTGTGTTTCCACAGATTAAGTTTCACAAAACTGTTGACCAGAGATCCTACTGGGCCCATCACCACCTCCACCTCTAGCATCTGAAAGGACAGTGTCAGCTGGGGACTTTAGATGAGAAACTAGAATAAGGAAGAAGAATTTTGATTATATAAAATGCCATGAAACTTTGAATCATCTCCTTTCCTTAAATGAATCTACTTACTCAAGTCTCAGGAAAAAGGCAGGCAAAAAATGGCATAAAAAGGAAATGCTATTGGTTGTACTACTCTTTCCTCTTCTCTTTCTTTCCATGATCAGATAAAATGCCTTCTTCTCTGGCAGAATCTGTGCTCATGTCAGTGTTGCCTTTCCTTCAGATTTAGGCTTTAGAGGGAAAAGGATGTCTTTATTCTCTATTTCTGAAATGTTTCTTAAACACAAGCATGTTAATGGACCAACTCCAGTTGAATTAAGGATGGAGTCATCATTTCCTCAACTGGATATGGCCTGTGGAAGGCTGGCAAATGAAATCAGAGAAGACTGTGGTCTAATATACTTAATGAATTCTTTCAAAAGCCTTCCCCTGGCTTGGTTAGGAGAAATTTCCCCTAAATTTTCTTGGCTTTGTTCATCCTTTTATCTTTTCTTTTGCAACAAGGGGCATGGGGTAGAAAGAATGAAATACAAATAGATGTACTGTTATATTCTAACTCAGCCAAGTCTTAGCCTGTTCTTGGCATCTAGGTGGATCTGGCTGGCACCAGCAGAGGCCTAGTGTTAATCCAAAGAAGACTATCAAAACTTCACAAGAGGACTTTTTTTTTTTTCTTTTTGTTTTCTTTCTTTTGGTAAATGATCCTAATAGGGAAGTTAAACAAATTCTCATGTCAAAATCCACAGAATGTGAGACCCTGAGAGCTTAAAGAGATGTTAGAGATGACCAATTCCATCTTCCTTGTTTTATAAGTAAGGAACTGGGAGGTAAGGGTTACGATTTATCAGTGCTGTTTACCAGAAATTATTTTAAGACAGGCAGAATAAACCTTCACATACCTTTCGGGTATTGGAGTAGCACCATGACAAGAGACGGAGAAGCGTAAGGAAAGTAGGACTTGAGTGTAAACTTCAGCTACAATAGAATCAGAAATGCAAAACTGTATGACTTTAGGATTGGAAGGAGTGTTAAGAAAATACTAAAATTTGCATCCTCTGTTCCAAAAGGACCCACTAGTACGAACATGATCAGAATGCCTTCTTAAACATTTATTTTTTTAAAAAAAATATGGTTCTAATAACCTCATAAATATTTTCCAGAAAAATAAACCTTTTAAAGTCACCTTCTAGGACTTAAGAAAAATAAAGTTATGCTCCTGATGTCTTTATATCAATTCTTTACCTTATACGAACCTAGTAATACAAATAAATCTTCTATTTAAGTCAGAGTTTGCAAGGCAGCTGTGAGATGGTTTTTTAACAACAACAAAAAAAGCAGAAAATGACAAAGAAGCTCACAATACTGCGAGGGCCCAAGCGCTATAGCCATCTGTGCCCTCAGAAGCCACATAACTTTTGAAGTACTCTTGTGAAAAGTTGAGGTAGAATCTAGAAACAGTGAAGTGCACAGGCATTAAGAGTACGATTTGATAAGTTTTGGTAAGTGTGTAAATCAAATGTGACTACTACTCCAATTAAGACACAGAACATTTCTGTCACTCCAAAAGAGTTGCCTTCTGGCTGTTACAGTCAATCCCTCCACCCAACCCTGGCAACCAATATTTTGATTTAGATGAGAGAGATTAGTTTTGCTTATTCTTCAATTTCATATAAACAGAATCATAAGAGTATGTATTCTTTTGTGACTGGCTTCTTTGGCTTAACATGTCTTTTTTGAGATTCATCCATGTTACTGTGTATAAGAAGTTCATTATATTTTTATTGCTTAGAAGCAGTCATTGTATGAATATACCATAATCTGTTTATTCATTCTCCTACTGATGGGCATTTGGGTTGTTTCCAGTTTGGGCTTATTATGAATAAAGCTGCAGTTAACATTCATATTTATGTCTTTTTGTGGACACGTGCTTTCATTTTTCTTAGGTAAATACTATAGGAATGGAATTACTGGGTCAAAGAGTAGATGCTTGTTTAACTTTATAATAAACTGCCATACAATTTTCTAAATGATTATGTCATTGCATACTGCCATCAGCAATTTATGAGAATTCCAGTTGTTCTACATACTCACCAACATTTGGTATTGGTAACCAAATCTTACTATCTTTACTATTCTAATGGGTGTAAATGTTACCTCATCATGGCTTTACTATTCATTTTCCTGATGGCAAATGATGTTCAACCATTTCATTTCTTTACTGCCAATTTATATGTCTTTTTTGAAGTATTTTGTCCATTTTTAAAAACTGAGTTGTTTCTTATGGAGCTATGAGTTTAATATATTCTGGACACAAATCCTCTGTCAGATATATGTATTAAAAATATTTTCTCCCAGCTGGTGGATTGCTTTTTCATTTTCTAAAAATGTCCATCAAAGAACAGAAGTTATATCTCATTTATCTATTTTTTATGAAGTCTAATTTATCTATTTTTTTCTCCTATGGTTAGTGCTTTTCCGCATCTCTTCTTAAGAAATCTTATATTATCCCAACATCAAAAAAATTTTTTTCATTTTCTTCTAGGAGTTTTCTCGTATTTTAGCATTTATCTGAAGTCTATGATCCATCTCAAATTAATTCTTGTATTTTGTAAGGGAGAGGTTCATTTTTCCCCATATGGATATCCAGTTGTGTTGGCACTATTTGCTGAACACTTCCTTTTCCCCATGTAATTGCTTTAGTATCTCTATCAAAAATAAGTTGACCACAGAGTCCTCTGGGGGGTTTTGCTTTTGTTTTTCAAAACTATTCTGGCTACTATAGGTCCTTTGCATTTCTGTGTAAGTTTTAAAATCAGCCTGTTGATTTCTGTTTTAAAATGGCTGCTGGGATTTTGATTGGAATCACACTGAAGCAATAGATCAAATTTGGGGAGAGCAGGCATCTTAATTCATGACTATGCTTTCTCTCTTCATATATTTAAATTTTCTTTAGTTTCTTTCAGCAGTGTTTTCTAGTTTTCTTTGTAGAGGCTGTATACAACATTTGTTAAATTTAATCCTAAGTATTTTTATATGTGACTAGATATATCTATTTCTCTTTTACTATTAGTTTTCACTTCATAGATTTCAAGGCTCTGTTACTAGGCACATATCTTTTTCTAATTGGTATTTCTACAAGTATGAACTCAAACTTGTAATTACAAAATGTTCCTCTTTATCTATGGTCATATTTCTTGTCTTGAAGTCTCCTCTAGTTGAACCATATTAGCTTTCTTGTGCTTTTGAGTCTTTTGAAAATGACATATACTTGGGTCTTGGTTTTTCATTTGGTCTGAACTATTTGCCTTTTTCTACTATATTTAGTTAATTTTCACCTAACTTTTGTAATTAATGTACTTGTAGATTTGTTTGGGTTAAGGTCTACCTTTTGATATTAGTTTCTTTTTTTCTCATCTATTTTTTTGTTGTTCTGGCAGCCCACAGCACTGTCTTTTAACAGCTCAAGTCAATCAGATTGTGCCTTGAGTTCTGGCCATCCCCTGATCCCAGCAACTCCCCTTCCATCCTTCATGTGAGAGTCCTCAGGAGAAAGTGAGAGAATATCCAAAGACGTTTCCTTTTTCAAGGGCCGACTCCCCTGTTTCTACCTGCTTTTTTGGTTATTCTCCAGTACCTTCAAATAGTTTTTAAAAATATTTTCCCCAGAGTTTATAATTTTTATCTGTGGGAGATTTAGTCTAGTACATTATTAGACTCTGCCACTACTAGAACTAGGACCTGAACTGATTGCTGTTTGTATTGAGCTATTATGCAAGCTCAGAAAAACCGGCTTGTCATGACAACCTTAAGTATTTGCCTACTAGTCCGATTGGGCATATCAATGGAGCTGCACTGCACTCTCCAAATAAAACAAGGGTGAGAGGAAAGGATAAAAAGAGAATGAGAACCAGTAAAGATAAACATTTCTGACAATGGGAAAGAATGTGGATTAATGGGATTTCTCATAAACTGCCAGGGGGAGTATAAAGAGGCATAGCAGCTGAACCTTTGCATACCTAGGTAACCAACACTTCCATTCCTGAATGTACATTCAAGAATTTCCCAAGCAACACTGTTTGTAAAAGAAAACAAAATCTGGAAACAACCTAAATGCCCACCGCCAGGAAATGGCTCCCCTGTGACATATTTTCCCAATGGAATACTATACAGCAACATTCCACCTCAGCCACATACGACATAAAGCAATCCTGGTAACAATGCTGAGTGGAAAAAGCAAGGCTCAAAAGAATGCATACAATATGCTACTCTTGTTTGTTTTTGTTTTATAGAGTGCAAAAATAACCACAAGAAAACATGGTTTAGGAAATAATATATATATGATCAGACTATTTCTAGAAAAAACAAAACAATGATAAACATAAAATCAAGACAGTGGTTACCTGAGGGAAGAAGGGCAGGGTGAGAGGATGGAGGTGGAGCACATGCATACAACTAAGTTATTATTATTAGTCCAGGTCTTGTTTGGATGTCTGGTTCACAGATATTCATTTTATTAAGAATGAATACATAAATGAATGAAGAGAACACAGGAAGAAGGTAATACATGCAACAAATAGGACACAGGATATTATACATCAAAGATTATGATTAATCTAAAAATAGTCACTCAAGAAGGGAGGGAATCAATGATGAGAATGGCCATTGATTAGAAAGAAAGGCAATCAGGAAGGAACAGCCTTAGTAAGAGAAATGACATATGTAAACAAAGGCATTTGCAAAGGTAAAAGGTTATTGTCCTCTTATTCTGAGCCCAAGGTGAGGGTGATGAATTCCGGCTTCTTTTCAGATCCCTGCCCTGCTTTCCATTAGGACGCAGCATGTGCCTACATACCACCAAACACATATATCCTGGTCAAGCTGCTACTCTAAATTAAAAGTGATGGAAATAGAACATTCTTAAAATTTGTATGGAACCACAAAAGACCTTGAATAGCCAAAGCAATCTTAATAAAGAACAAAGCTGGAGTCATCATGCTCCCTGTTTTCAAACTTTATTACAAAGCTATAGTAATCAAAACAGTACAGCACTGGCATAAAAACACCCAGGTAGATCAATGTAACAGAATAGAGAGCCCAGAAATAAACCCATGCATATATGGTCAATTAACTAAAAACAACGGGGCCAAAAATATACAATGGAAAAAGGACAGTCTCTTCAATAAATGATACTGAAAAACAGAGCAGCCACGTTGAAAAAAATGAATCTGAACCCCTATCTTACACCATGCACAAAAATTAACTCAAAATGGGTCTGACTCCAAAAGCAAAGGGAACAAAAGCCAAAGTAAACAGTGGGACTACATCCAACTAAAAAGTTTCTACACCATCAACAAAATGAAAAAGCAGCCTACTGAATGGGAGAAAATATTTGCAAATCATTTATCCGATAAGGGGTTAATATCCAAAATATATAAAGAACTCATACGACTCAGCAAAAAAACAAACAGTATCATTTAAAATTAGGCAGAACATCTGAACAGACATTTTCCCACAGAAGATATGCAGATGCTAACAGGTACATGAAAAGATATTCACTATCATTAATCATCTGGGAAATGCATATCAAAACCACAGTGAGCTATTACCTCACATCTGTCAGAATGGCTATTATCAAAAAGACAAGAAAGAACAAATGTTGGTGAGGATGTGGAGAAAAAGGAACCCTTGTGCACCACCTATAGTGGAAGTTGTGGAGACGCTGGCGCAGCCGCTACGGAAAACAGTGTGAGGTTCCTCAAAAAATTAAAACTACAACTGCCATATGATCCAGCAATTCCACTTCTGGGTATTTACCTTGAAGAAAATGAAAACACTTACTCGAAAAGATAAATGCACCCCAATGTTCACTGCAGCATTATTTGCAATATCCAAACCATGGAAACAATCTAAGTGCCTTCAATGGGCAAAAGCATAAAGAAAATGCACACACACACATACATACACACAATGGAATATTATTCAGCCATAAAAAATGAAATCTTGCCATTTGCAACAACATAGATAAACCTCAAGGGCATTATGTTAAGTAAAATAAGTCAGACAGAGAAAGACAATTATCATGCGAAATACAAAAAAGAAAAGAAAAGAAAAGAAAAAGAAAGAAAGAAACCAAGCTCACAGATACAGAGACCAGATTAATGGTTGCTAGAGGTGGGGATGGGTGGTGGGCAAAATGGGTGAAGGGAGTCAACAGGTATAAATGTCTAGTCCAGCTATAAATTAAATAAGGGGATGTAATGCACAGAATGGTGACTGCAGTTAATACTGTACTGAATATTTCAAAATTGCTAAGATAGATCTTAAAGTTCTTATCATAAGAAAAAAAATTCATAGCTATGTATGGTGACAGACATTAACTAGACTTATTGTGGAGATCATCTCACAATATATATAAACATTGAATCATGATGTTGTACACCTGAAACTAATAGAATATGTCAATTATGCCTTAATAAAAAATAGATAAAAATAAATTAGTTAAAAGCAACTGCAAATCCAGTCCAAATTTATGGTGCCCAAGGCCAACACTCGAGAGAAAAACTGGTAAGAAAAACAGACCCAAGCTAACGCTAAAGAGCAATACTACTTTCACCAGTGTCCTCCACCCCAACCTAGATGTGTTCTAGGAGTCAAAGGCAGAGGTTTTCTAGAGGTAGATTCCTAATTGGGAATACAAAGAATTGTACAAGGGAGGATTAAAAGAGATTTATAGTTATGCCTCAAAATAAGTGTGAGGGCCAGCCAGTGCCTTTCAGCAGACCTCTCCTCCCAAATTCCATTGATACCATTGATAACCATTGATAACACTGTTTGCTACAGTAGTTAACTTTTTTTGCTACAGCCTAGTTAACTTCCCTAGGGCAAGAGAAGATGGGGAAAAAATACATCATAAATATTTATCACTGCCTTAAAAAACAATGATAAAATCTGAGTTTTTTGGTGCAGGGGTATGTGGGATTTTAGCAGAGCCAAGTATCATACAATACTGCTCTCCTAAGTCAAACTGCTGAAAGCATCACAGGGACCATGCCTCACAGGGAGCTGCAAGTGGACCCAGGCACTTGAACAGGCAAAGCACCAAACAGACTTACAGGCCGGTTAAAATGCCCAAAGGAGAGAGCTCTCTGGAAGAAAAGGTTCCTGTTTCACTTTAATTGATCAGTGGTCCTTGCCCGCTAGAGTCTGGCCTCCGCTGATGGGGCCCAGTAGTGTAAGTCTTCCTGCAGGCCCCTGTGCCTGGCTTCTCCCTTATTGACTGGGTCCAACTCGCACTTCTTGGTCACTGTTTTTCTAAGCTCCTCCTCTACAATTAATTCAAATCTTTCCTTATTGTTCTTACGACCTCTTTTCTCTCCTAGAATCTAATTCACATTTGGGTCTCTCATAGGAATGGAAATTCTAATAATTACGACTGTCCAGTATTGCTTTGTAATAAGTGGCATTTCCTTCTTAGCACATGCCATGTAGATTCCAGAATGCCTATTGCTGGCCTGGGAGGGGCAGAGTCCCACTTGGCAGACAGCAGACACACAAGGCCTGGAAAATTCATCCTCTAGGGATGGCATGACAGTTCTCTGACACAACAGTATAAAAATGTTTCTGGATTCTAGGGTATGGGGCAGATGGGAACTTCTTTACTTTCAATTAAAATGGTTTTACCTTTGCAGGGGCATTCGTTTGGAAGCTTTCTTCGTGAGCAAAACAATCTCTTAAAATCATTGAAACTAAAGTGCTCCGTTCTTGTGATTAGCCAAATACTCTTAGCAGTCTTTTTTCTTTGGGAGAATGAATTACATATGCAATATAACGAACCTGTTTGTTTTCTTTTTCCAGAGTTTCTACAAAGCACCACGTAAACACTTGAATGGTGGCTAGTACTTCTGGGGCTCCATCGGTTTCCAAGAGTGCATACCTGAGCAATGCAATGCCGTATCACAAGACATGTAATGATTAATCTGGCAAAGAGGTGAATCTGAACTGTAAAAGTGAAGAGTGGAAACATCCTTTTTGTGCCATGAACTTCAGCAGTACCCCCAACTCATCAGATTTCAAACCTTGTGTGAATGTAGAAATTTGTCGCTCCTTTACTAAATATTTTAAAATTGCAATGTGAAGCACTCTCTTTGTTGATTTTTAAATTATTAAGCACTGCGTACCCTTTCCACATAGGCCTCAATGCTCCTTACAAATATTTGTACACTGTATGCACAGATATGCAACATCAATAGACCTCTTGCTTTTTCAAGTGGAGAAAGAGCTGCCCAAGGGTGTAACATGGTTTAGTCAAATCTACCCACCAAAGTGGTAGAAGAATCTACATGTAGTTGGTTTATTTTCCATGCATTTTTCATACAACTAAATTCTCTTTATGTTTAAACAAACAAACAAAAAAATCAAGTCAAACTTTGCTAGCTTTAAACGAAAAACAGCATTTTGACTTCTTATTTCTATGCTTATTTAGCTTAAAGCTGGCATGTTTCAAGACCAACCCAAATACTGGGCTATGTGCTATTAAAATTTCTTTCCCCAGTGTCTGCTTTCTGCCTTGGAGTCTCTACTGCCGAGTGTGAGGGGGATGAAAGGGAGAAGGCAGATACAATAGTTCCACCAGTACCTCTAAAAGAGGCGAGAAGATCTCCCCAGGTGACAAGTTCCCTTAGAGGGGTCCAGTCTCTCACTACCTGCCAGCCATAACCCAACCTGGTGTCCACTGGTCTCCTCATCTCTCATCACTTGCAAATTCAATGCAATTTCCAAGAAGTACTTGTATTTGCAAAAAAAAAAAAAAAAAAAAAAAGTTGTAAA